ACACACACACACACACACACACACACACACACACACACACACACACAGTTATATTTACTGAATATATGTCGACACCTGGCCAGCACGTAGTAATCTATGATTATTATTACTACTTATATTTTAGCCAAATTTACATTTCTCCTCTGAACAACTCAGATTCCTAGGACTCGTACTGATTCTGGATCAGATCAGGGTCTTGCGGTTTTGCGGTCCTGCTTACCTGCGGGTCAAAGTCAAACATGAGCAGGTCTCCGGTCAGGAAGTCCTCTTTGGGAAACAGCTGCATGTTCTCACAGATGTTCTCCACAAACTCGATGGGATCCGTCTGTCGGTCCAGACAGCGGCAGAGACAAACATCACAATAATAATAATCAGATATTTACATTTACTTCAAGACACACATCAATGTTCTCTTTAACTCTTCATTACTTTCATGAGTTTTCATGCCTTTGTTGCCTTCATAAATGCTTCAAGATGTGTCAGACATTTTATATTGGATCTGTTTCGGTTCAATTTGAACCCAATTAATTGGCTTTGTAATAGAATTTCTAACTTAAATATATTTAGTAGAGAGAAAACATCCATGCTACACGCACACTCGATTATTAGTGATGATGGACAGGCTCATCTCGTTTATTTAAACTCTATCATTTCAATCATTGTCATTATTATAATTATTGAAGCTTTAACAATCACAACTGATGAGTATTTCCTCAGAAGCTCCTTCTTCAGACTCATCAGAACAAAGATGATTAATTTGCCAACACAACAGCGTCTGATTGTTAGTCACCTGCTGACTGAACGGTGTGTCGTTATTTGGTTGTAAACACTCATTTACCAACAGAGGTTGTGTTTTTACAGTACGTCTGTGCTGCAGTACCTGCTCCTGATAGTGGAACTCGTTGGCTTCAATTTTCTGAATTTCCTCATAGATCCTAAAAGAAAAAACAGTTTGCTGAAATATGAAACATATAGAGCTACAAGACACAGATACCTGTGTGTCTATGTGCACATAATATGGTTATTGTTGGCGTTCTACAGATACTTGACAACTTAAAAGAGCAATTTTTATGTTGCCATCCTCAGAAATAGTATTTTTTAAATAACGTAAGTGCACCCCACTGAATTTATGTCGCGTGATACATTTAAGACTTCCCATTTGAAGTGAAAAGAGAGTCTCAATTTATTTTGTGCTGTAGAAATGACGATGATTTAAGAGAATTAATGTTTCATAAATTGTCTCGGAAACACCCTAAAATAATCTGCTGTTCACACAAGCAAAAATGTGGCTATTTAATTTAGATTTGTTTAAATTTGCTAATTTAAAAGGCCTGCAAATGAAGGCAAGCTAGATTATTTAATATTTTTTTACTCTAATAAAATATACATATAATTAATTTATGTAAAAATCTCATATTTACTTCTGGAATCCTAAAATTCCAGTCTCCTTTTTCTAGTTCAGGGATTAACAGGAAATAAAACATCAACATATACTAAAAACCTCATGTAAACAGTTTAAATCGGGGGTTCACACATGTGCCTGTGCGGCAGAATGAGGGAAAAACCTTTACTACAACGGTGCATCATAGTACCCAAAATAAGTGTGTTTGTGAGGAGCCTGACCTCTGCTGCGGGCCGAGAGTCTGAAGCATTTTCAAGTACTGGAACACAAAATGGACCACCTGCACAGAGACAAATCATGAAGCATTTAGAAATAAAACAACTCTCTTATTATTCTTTTTTTGGTGACTATTTAAACAGTTGAGTGAAAGTCAGCAGCACCATCAGCATCAGTTTAAGAGAAATACATTTAATTCCTGACATAGACGTGGTCTCTACGTACAAAAAAAGAGAGTTAAAACCACTGTCAATTCCCTTTATGCGTGTGTGTGTGTGTGTCTTTGTGAGGACCAATTTCAGGTTTATACTCGTGTATTTTGGCTTGTCCTCACTACATCACAAGATTGTTTGAATGTTAAACACTTTTAAGGTTAGAATCAGGTTTAGGTTAAGGGTCCTCACAAGTATAGACAGATAAACATGGCTGTGTGTTTTGGTGTGCGTGTGTTAACCTGGTAGAAGTTCTGGTAGCCCTGGTTAGTCAGGGTGATTGAGATGGAGAAGATCGAGTAGGTGGTGTTCTGGTCGAAACCCGTCTCACTGTTTCCTCCAAACAGAGCCAGAGCCCAGCACCTGAAAACACACGCACACACGCACGCACGCACGCACGCACGCACGCACACGCACACGCACACACTATAAGTCCTTTGCACTAACTTAACATTTATTGCCAGTTTACAATCAGTTCATTTCTTCATGACTCACTTCTTCCTGAGCAGAGACAGGATGCTGCCGGTTCCTTCGTGTCCGATCAGCCAGGAGATGTAGTGAAGAGGCTTCACTCTGGCAAAAAAAAAGACACACATTCTGTGAAATGAGTGCAGGCAACAGTTTGACTCATCTGTAGATCAGCTGGACTGTGATTCATCCGTCTCGTGAGTGCAGTACATGGCCAGGTGAGTATTTTCTCACAATGTTCCCAAAATTTGAGTATCCAAGATCGCGCAGTGGACACCTGCTGTGTCTCGAGCTCCTCCCCAACGTTGCTCTTTTTCTTGTTTTTATCCGCTATTTTTCACAACATGCGCACCACCGAAGTGAGTCCCACCGTACATTGAACATTAGATTGTTGCGGACAGCACCTTTTCACCACGACCAACAAACAATGGGGAATTTACATTGCTGGGATTACCTGTTGCCTTACCTGGAAAGGGGAGGGGAGGGGGAGGGGGGGGGGGGGGGGGGTATTGGAGGCTGACTCACCTGTAGTGTTTCCCCTGCGGCGGTACGGCCCAGCTGATGGTCAGAGCATGAACCTTCCTCACAGGGATGACTGCAATAAACATGCTCATGTGTTAGTATGTGTGTACTGTTGAAATTAGACCTAAAAATCCTTTTGATAATCACATCATAGACCCATAATATTAATTACATAAACTCACGATTATAAGGTTAGATTTCTCCAATTATTAACATTATTCATGCAATGTAGAAATGTTAACAGTATAACTACTACATGAAATAAGATGAGAAACATATAAATACAAGTAAACATTACTGTGTAGTACTTAAGAGTGAAAGATGAGAAGAAAAAAATATCCTGCTAGTACTACTACAACTAATATTACCATTACTATCTGACCTCTGTAGAGTTTGTTGAAGGCCGGCGTGTCAAACGGCTGCAGGAGGTGAGAGAAGTCGGCTCGAGGTTCATCGCTAAAAACCCACAAACAATAATAAAAAGATGTTACTACACAAACCTGTCTTTGTGTTATTGTCATTATTGTGTGACACATATGTACTGATGTTGAGAATGTTAATATAATAACATAGATTGGATAGTTTTAAGATTGTCTCCTTAGGACAGAACCCTAAAGAAACCAGAAGGTTAATGATGGTTTATATTATACAATAATGTATGATCAGAATATTTTGGGTCATTGAGGGTTGGTTATATGTGTACAGTGTGTATAAGACCGTAGATGCACTCTACTTTTGAGCAAGGGACCAGAGACCTTCGCCGTCTGAGCCCTATAATATTTTGATTAGGTTGAAAATTGTGTCTTACTTGTTGGGAACTTTGATGAAGATCTCTTTTACCCACTGCTCCAGAGTGTCCAGAGTCTCTAATCAACAAAAAGCACAGTCAGAGAGCACAACATCTCACCGAGCTTCACAATCATACCAACAGCTGCTTACAGGTAGCATAGCACGCTAAAGTTAGCCGTCGATTAAGGAGCATCCTAGCAGTAGCTGTAAACCTTGTTTTTTCTGACGTCCAGCGGTGCAGTGATGTAGAAGTGCTCTTCAGGGTGCGTCAGTACGTGATGACATCACATTTGGGTGTGGTTACAGACCTGCTGTTAAGTTACTCTTTAAGCTGGATGTTGATATTAGCATGTTGCAGTAATATACTGCAGGGGTTTTCATAAGTGCTGGCTGTTGGTTGGACATTAAAACATTTCCAGCAAACTACTTTCTTCCTGATTTTTTTTCATTGCGAGTGTCTTCTCGCCCTCTTGGTGTTAAGTGCCTTACAATCAACTGCCCCGACCCCCAAGCATTACAGCCTCACAGACCAGCTGAGGGCTTTTAGTCTTTTAAATACTAAAACAAGCTGCAAAATCAGTAAAAAGACAATGCAGACATCTCTGGAGAGTTTGTGTAAGTACCTTTGGACTGAACGGTGAGCGTCATGTAATGAGCCGAGTAATATCTCCTCCAGAAGTCTCTGAGCCGCTGGTAGGTGTTGATCTGCTTCTCTTTGGGATCGTGCTTTAATGTCTGAGCGTTACCTGACAGGAACAGATGTTCAATAGTGAGGTGACATCGAACCACAAGTTTATCAACTTAGAAATAGGACTTTTTAAAACCTCAAAAAATGAATTTAGACTGAAATACGTGACATTTCCATTTCTGGAAAAAGTAGAAACGTACGGCATATTGATGACTTGTAAAACTGACTTTAAAAGTATTTGTATTCAAGACCATTTAAAACCTAGCATTTCTAAAAGCTTTTTTCATTATTGAAAGGACAGAAAAGTTGCAAGGATTGAGTGTAAAAGGCACAACAGCTGTGTGCTGTTCTTACCCCAGCAGAATTTTCCCATAGGGTGTCCTGGTTTAGCCAGACTTCCAAACAGCATCTCCTTACGATGAGAGTCAGACGGCCTCGCTAACTGGTACTCTGAACAGGAAATCAGAAAAGAGAGAAGGAAAGAAGAAAAAAGATATGAAGTGTGACTTAAGCTGAAAGGTCAGTATATCAGGTATAGACCGGGTTCAGAACAGAACATGAGCAGCAACATTTGTGAAAACATTTCCTAAAGCAGATTAAAAGGAAGTTTAAGATGCATCCGATTACAGAAACAGTTTGACGATGTGTAATGTGTATCACTCACCACTGTCCACAGCCTCCACCTCTCTATCGATGGCATCTTCTATCATCAGAGGACAGATGAAGAACTGAGCCCACCTGGAACACAAATATATATATATATATATATATATATGTGTTTATATAACAAAAGATAAAAATATATATATATATTTATATAAA